CTACAATAATGTGGAGGGAGAGTCCTCTCCAGTCAGACTGATAACTACAGCTCAGTGAGGTAAAGTACTCAGAGTGTTAGATAGTTCACTTTAGTCTAAGTTCAAACGGTTTGGTCACAATTTATGTAAACACATATTTCCAAGGCTATAATTATTGGGATAAACAGGTTTGAAATCATTCCAATGTATACTATAGGACAGTAACCAAAAATATCCTTTAAAACTGGAGATAAAAAAAAATGCATAAATAAATGTTAAGGTAAAATAAGATATGAATGAACAACATAAATAAAATAAGTTACATTAATTTGTTATTGGCTATGGTAGGTTATTGGTTATGTTCACATACTTATTTGATTACATCCACTTTTCTAAGATGACAACAGAGACTTTCAACCCAAACCCAGCTGTTGACTTGTGGATGCAAGCAGCTAATCACAGACTCAACCAGAGAGGAAGTAGTAGGCCTACATCATCAGCTACCATGTCTGACAGAGAGGAAGACAGTGAGGAGAACAGTCAGGAGGGTAGTGATGACAGCTTGTAGGATTACTGGTCGTGCTAATGTTGTCTTGTGTTCGCCTCTGCATGTGTGTTCTGTGTTCACCTCTGTGTGTTCTGTGCCGTGTGTCTGGCAAATAAAGTCAAGACCCCCTCAAAAGTTACGGTTTATTTCATTTTAAGGATGAGCACCAAGCAACATCTCCAGGTGCTCCTTTGAGAACCAGGGCAAAAAAGTTATGTGCACCCCTGGTTATAGTGGCCTTATGGTATATGCTACATTATGTTTCTGTATATTCCTACAGGGAGTTATATCCATTATTGCAATGTAGGTAGATTATTATGATTACATTTTTCACATATGCTGCATATTTAAATTCTATGTTGTAAATATTAATTTAGGAGTCTTTGTTTTTGGTACATAGAACCCATGCTTTAATCTTTATGTATTCATTCATTGACTATTTTATTGTTTTGTTTAATAACAGGGGTTGATGTCCTTCCCTTTGGTGGTGGAAGCCAAAGTCACTCCCCTATTAAAGTAAATGTCCCAAAACTATACTATATATATATATAATATATATATATATATATATGGGGATACTGTTAATGACCTGCTAGACAACCAAATAATGTCCATAGATCTTTTAGTATGGCTGGTAGGGAGTGTATTCAAAATTAAAAGTGAAATACATTTGCTTGTTTAAGTATAAATCTGTACGTGTCATTATCTATTTGTTCCTGTTTAGCTATGGAAGAGAGCATGAAAGACATCTCGGAGCCGACGGGGTCCCCTGCCCCGGTGATCCAGCACAGCTCCCTGGCACACAGCCCCTCCGCAGGGCACAACGGGCTGAGCAGGGCAGCAGCGGAGGCCATGGCCATGTCCGTGCTGGCAGGGATGGGCCAGCACCAGAGGTCTGAGAGCGGACCCTCTCACATTATCATGGCTGCACAGTCTCAGTCGGCTGCCAGATGATGAGCGATGCCGCCACGGCCCAGACTTGGCTCACACTCGTCACCCAGGGGTAGGAAAGAGCAGCGGAACCCCCCTCCCCAACTTTCCCCCCGAAGTCCAAGTTTCTCCTCGCCCCCTGCCTCCTCCGCTCTCTGACCCTCCTGTGGAGCCGTCACGCTGCGGCCTGGAGCTCAGCAACAGCCTTCTGGGAATGGACTGAGACCTTTTTGAGAGAGCTTCCCATTCACTTTGCCATAGACTACAGGGGCTGGACTCCAAACTTCATCCTCGTCTCCCCCCCTCTGTGCTTCCCCCCCTCATCTCTCCTTCCCCCCTCAGTTTAAATGACCTCTTCACTGGACTGTAGGACTGCATCGCTCTGAGTGTCGCAATGAACTCTCCACACGGACACAGATTTTAACACACAGGTGTTGCACCTCGTCGATCAAATCAGATACCAAACAACACGCAGGGCTTTACACTGTTTTCAGCAGGGAATTGTGCCTCACACACCCACACGCCATCACAGCACACATCCTCCAAAGATGCAGTAGCTGTCTAGACGTCAGTGACTCACATCTGACGTTAAACCTTTTGTACACGGTTCCACATCAAGGTGATCTCAACATGGATCCAAAAACCTTACCTCAATTACTCCCCTTTATTAGAACATTCATAAACGGTGTGCGTGATTAGCTCTGCGCGTATATATTGATGTACTTAGCAGTTTGCCTGCTCCTGATCTGATTCGTTAATAGCTGGATTAGCATGTGACTTTTTTCTATTAGTGTGTTCTTGATACAGCTATGTGCAGCTATACTTTTTAATCAATTGGCACATCCTCCCAGATAAGTCCAAAACAAGTCGGATTGACAGAGTATGGTCTTTACATCTGTTCTAACCTGAAGGGAATAAGCCCCTCCTCCTCCTCCTCCTCCTCCTCCTCCTCCTCCTCCTCCTCCTCCTCCTCCTCCTCCTTTCCTCTTCAACAGTTCTTCTGGTTACTGGTTTTCTAAGTGGACGCCTTTTCCATTTGATATGAGCTATTCTAGTGGCTGTGTTTCTCGGTGTGTGGGCCCTGGACTTACTGTAACTGTTATTTTCACACTTCTCAGGATGGTTGCACATCCTTGCTGCTCGTTGGAAGTGCGATGAACCCCTCAATCCCTCTGCTCTTTACCAAACCTAAACCAAGCCATAATGACTACAAATCAGATGTCTGAATCTCCAAAGACCACCCTGTGTACGTGTGTTTGGAGGCAGGAAGTAAATAGCCTGACTGTTATCTTGTGATTCAGAGCTCACAGTGACACACACTGCAGTATATCACTGCCTTTTACTTGCACTTACACTCTCACACAAAATGTCTGATCATGTTTGCCTTAAAACCACATTGGTGCCTCCCATACCCCCCCTAGAACAGATTTGCTCCTGAGCCATACAACAATATATATCTTCTTAACTTCATCAAATGAAAAACAACTAATAAAGAACCAAAAATCCCTTATTTAGGATTCTTTAAAGCCTTTAAAAGAATGACAACTCTCTTCCAGTGACACAAATGATCCAGTACTTGTCTGTCATCTGGTGGAGGGACTCAGATAAGACATCTAAGCTTCGAGGGAAGAACACTTTTGGATATCTTGTGACTGAACAGCTCCATTTCCAAGATATATTTTACATAAACTCCTAAACAAGCGGTTTTCTTTTCATGTTGTCTTCCTGCATATTGTTCTTTTATCTGATATGATCAATCATATATTTTAAAGATGTGATACTTCAAAAACCTGTCCATCAACATAAGGGCATGTCTTTATGCACTAAGATAATGCAAGTTTCCTAGTTTTTATATCCATTTAAAATTCTCTTGGTCTTTTCCAGAGATATCAGATGTTCAGAGTCTCCTCTCTGTACTGTATACGTTAATGGGAATTTGCTCTGCAACTTTAAACGTTTTCACCTTTGACTGAACCTCTTGTCCTACAGTCCCAATGGCGACCCCGGCATTTTGTTGTACTTCAGAGCTGGCGCTATATTTGGCTGGCAGTCGCTTATAGACGATTGTTCGTATGAAATGAAAAGTCAAACTATATTTAGCTTTCATGTTTTCATATCATTCATGTCATTGGCACCTTTTTCTGTCAGTTTTTGTTTTCTTTTGTGTCTTTTTTTCAGAACGATACAACCTTTGTCATTATGCTTCTGATTGTACTGATGAATATAGAAACACATTTCCTTAAAACACATTTATTTTTTGTTCGAGAAATGTCAGTCCTTTTTCAAAAAGCGATTTGGATCCTCTTTGTTATATCTTAAAAGATAAATTTGGTCGTGTCTTTCTAACTTATTTTTCTAATTGGGCAACTAACAAACGTCATTACAGTCTCTGGCATATTAGAGTTACCTAGGATTGTTGTGAGAAGAGCAATTTAGTGAAAGATGCAACAATGTGAAAGTTGCACATAGCATACTCGTGTTTGTTCACACTCCCATCGTTGGACTGATGATTTCGGAAATTGTCCTTGTACATATCTGTACTATATGAATATATTTACTTTTCCATGCATGTCCAAGTGGAATACTATGAACACTTACAGTGCTGCAGTTTTAATTAAAGAAACTACATGTTAATGAACAGTTATACAGTCTGGGTTGTTTGTTTGTTTTCAGTGTATTTCACAATGACTGAAATCGTTGTGGGTAAAAGCGCCGTCCTTTTACAAAACAACTGAAGACTTGGTCATTTTCTGTTAACCGCACAAGTCAGTGTATTTGAATACAAGAGAATATAGTTTATGAAAGGACATTGTACCGTCTGCTTTTTACTAGTAGAGAGTAACTCACTACTCTGGTTCCTTTACTTTAATAGTTTTCTTTTTACCATTTTTCTTTCTTTCAAAACGTATTTTTAGCTGCTATTGAGGACACTGATGTCATCTACTGAGTTGTTAACTGTGACTTTGCAATTAGCAACTTAGGGTTATAGTGTACAATTAAAAACATACACATTGTGAATATCTTCTTCTTTTCCTCGCATTTTTTAAATAGGGATTCATTTTGAGATACTTTCAGATCAAGACATAATGACTTACAGAGTCTTTTTTTTCATCAAAAGGCTTTGCATTCTTCTAATTTATTTTTCTGGCACGAATGGGCTTCCATAACATTTGAACCAAAATAGAAACAAGTAAATGATGTGGTATTCCTAATTTTGTGTGGAGAGGCTTGGAAACAGCAGGTTTACCATCATATTGGAACATAACATCTACAGAAACTATTTGAACATTTCACTTTAAAATAAATGACATTTATTGAGGAGGTGTGCTGAGAGGCTGGAATCATGACTAGAGCCTTTCTAAGACTCATTGCTACATGCCTGCTTTTAACTTGATGTTTTTGAATTGCACTCAAGTCATTTTGGAAAAGCACAGCAGTGACACATAAGCCTGCAATTATGCTGTTATGTAAAATTTGCTTTGAAGCTTGTTTTCCTTTAAAACAATGTCTGTTTCTTATAAGGAAACCATCATTTGTTCTTCTTGTAAGCAGCCCTTAATTGCACAGGGAGTGGTTGGGAGGGTATATTTATGTTTTATAATCTTTACAGTTACAACGCCACAGATGGATTTTTCAAGTATTCTTACATAAAAGGTGACATTTAAAATCAAGTACTTCATCTGAAATAGGACCAGGGTTGGATTTACTCTCTGTGGGTCAAGAATGCGTTGAGGTTTGTGATGATCAGTCACAGCTCTACGGTCTAAACATGTCATTTTCCTTTTATTGTATTCTGCCTTTAGCGACATAAACCAACCAAAACGTTTTTCAACTCCCACGCTGACATAAAATCCCCAGTTTTGATGTGCGTGAATGTATTTGTATGATCACTTGTGGAAGCAGTCAATCAAATTACCATACCTGGGATGTTTGGGGCCCCTTGGCAGTTGCACACTCAAATTCTATTCCAGATTTAAGTTTGATATTCTAGTACTTTTTCCACCTTTGCTTGCTCTGGCGTTAGCTTTTAAAATACTAGGTCAAATTCAAAGGCTTTATTGTCAGATGCACAGATGCTACAGTGTAGAAATGGCAATGAAGATCTTAAGGTCCTCCAACATTGCATTAAATATAAGTGTACTCTCCTGTTTATTGTTCTTAGCACATATTTTACACATACAAATCGTCAGTAATAATAATAATACAAATAAACAATAAAACATTTGGTCGAGGTTTGCGTAGTTTTTAAAGAAACATGACGTTTGACCAATTCCACATAAATATATATAACATAAAATAAAAACGTACACAGATAAGGAAGAGAAATGGAAGAAAACAACAACAGTGTAAACATAGAAATGTCTAAATAACTATAATATACATTTTCTCCAAAATAAAGGTCAAGCATCCTTCTGGCCTGGAGCAGTCCAAAGTCGATTAAGCGTAACTAAAATTCCATCAGAGTTTTAAACCTACAGTAAAGTGTACCCCATGTTTGGCTCATTACCTGGTGTAATATGATCTAAATATAAATATTCCTATATTTCTTATCTTTATAAATTGGAAGTTTACAAATAGCAAGACCTATTATTTTTTCTTTAGTAAATAAAAGAGATTTAAGATGATTTATGAAATATTTACCTATAAACTCTTTACCATCTGCAGTCCCTGTGCAGGAACACAACAACAAACAACAGAACAATCAGCACTAAAAACATTAATTTATGACATGATAAAAGTGTAGTGTTATTAGTCAAATGCGTGTGTGTTTCTGCCAGTCAGACGCCAGGGGGAGCAACAGTTTCGGTGTGTGTGTTTTCCGGGATGCAGTTGAATTAATGTACAGGCGAGGTAAAGGCAGTCACGTGACAGCGGCTCGCTGCCGTCAGTGAGTTTTTCCCATTATGGCGGAGGGGCCAGCCGCACGGATGGACTGTCTCTCCCACTCTGAGGCTTGTTTTGTGTCTTGAGGGAGGGCGTTTTATATTTGTAATTTTTCTACACTTTACCTTCCTCTTTGACTGCACTGCACTCTGTGTGTTTATCGGCGGAGTGATGGCGGACCGCAGCGTGGATGTGTCCGCCCTGCCGAAAGAGGCTCGGGACCAGCTGGCGGAGTTGGACCTGGAGCTGTCTGAAGGTAAAGCAGGGGGGGGACTGCCTGCCGGGTACGTGGGGGGATCCTTTAGCATTATTACAAGCTAGCTGTGTGTCTAAGGTGTCTGGGCTTACCAGCATCGATTAAACCGGTCCTTTCCCAGTCTTTTGTTCCACTTTCCGTGTATAACACATTGAATGAGGGCTCACTGGAGCTAGCTTATTTGTGCTAATGAAGGATGTGGACACGCGAGCTAGCAGTTCTTGACAAGCAGCACGAGAGGGAAGAGAAAGGCTCCATCCATTTTTCCTCGTGCCTGCTATCTCAACCCGTATAGTGGTCAATATAGAGCTAAGCTGTCGATTCAAAGATATTTTCAATTGTCATGTCTCATCATTTTGCTGTGTGATTGAATGTCAAAGCCATAGCTGTGTGTGTGTGTGTGTGTGTGGTGTGTGTGTGTGTGTGTGTGTGTGTGGTGTGTGTGTGTGTGTGTGTGTGTGTGTGTGTGTGTGTGTGTGTGTGTGTGTGTGTGTGTGTGTGTGTGTGTGTGTGTGTGTGTGTGTGTGTGTGTGTGTGTGACTAGGGTGGCCAGAGGCATGGTCTGGCTATCAGAGCTTGACCCTCTCATCTTTAGTTATACTTCTTCATATGGTGGGAATTAGATTGTTCTGTGACCACATGGCTTCACATCATTAGCTCGCCCTGTGCTTCTTCTTTCCATCTGCGTTCATGTTTCAGCTGAAAAAAGCAGTACAACTGTGAGTCACTGTGACTAGTGTTGACATGTAATGACACGGCCTACAGTCATCCTCCTGTGTCATAGGAAGACACAGACTGTTATGAATTAGTGTTAGTAATGAACAAACGTAGTGTATGACCTCAGTGACCAACAAGATGCACATACAGAGCCTACCACCTGTGTAAACCTGCTATTACTGCAATTATAGGTTTAAACTGTGTGCCTTGCTCATCAAGGGTTTTACTACCCACAATCTTGTGGTGAAATGTTGTGAGATCTGGGTCAGGTGAATGCTATGTTTGTCCTACTCATCACTAGTTCTATGAAAATACAACATTATCTTGATTCTCAGGACAACCATATAATACATACTGATCTCAGAAAGTCTGCCAAGATAGGATTTTATACAATTCAGGTGCATGCAATGATATAATGTGCCTATTTTGCATAGCTATTCTTTGTAATAATACAAATATACCTTCTCTAGGTCACTTTAAAAAGCCACATTCTCGTGTTTTGAACTGTCTAAATGTTAGGAAGTAGGTGCGCTAATACAGAAAGGTTGATGCAGATGTGCTATCGAAAAATAATAATAGTGTATCTGAAAGCTATTGATAAGTATCACTGTTTTTATTTGGATTAATGATATTTGATCCTTGATCATTGTATTGATCCTAATCGATTGGTATCGTTACACCCTAACTATTGTAAATGTAGGTGGGTGATAGATTTGTAAATATTTATTGATTGTATTTCACAAATATCTCAACCATTTATTCATCCAAAAGCAAAGTACAAATCACCCCCTCCCCCAGAGCAGCTGTTAGCTCCTGTCCTCTCCACACATTGACACACACTGTCACACACTGTCACATCCCAGTGACAGTCCCCCCCTTGTCCCCCCTCACGCACCTGGGAGACGTTCTCCAGCTGAGGTGACTGACTCCGTCGTCCATTGTGGGCAGTGACCACTCTACCTATCCATGCTGATACACATTTGGAGATTCTAGGTGGTGTGATATTGACTGACACTGATTACCTGTATTTGTTATGACTACTCTTAATACAGATGCAGGTCAACCATTTCAGTCGCTCTAGTAATACAAATGTATTGCGATATCAGCATATACCCCATCGTTCCAAAACAATCAATATGAATATTGTATTGTGAAGAATTAGATTTATACCCCTATAAAATCACCTTGGCAATATAGTTTGTATGCACGTGACAGTTATATTACTTCATATTCAAATAAAGAAGAACTCATTAACAACCTAATTACTGTTAATCTATATGGAGTGGGACTGTTGACACATTATAAGAGCTCGTATCAGCCAGTGTTGAAAGTAGGTTGATATATTCGTGAATCTAATGGTATGCCAAGAGCAGACTGACCTCTAAGGTTAATGTGTTGTCTATTGTGTTGGCCTAGAAAGAAATATGTTTGAGATTTTGCCGTATTGTTTATAAATAATTGATACTCTGGTAACTATCCCCTGCAGCATATTAGGGCCAATGTTATAAATCAATGATTAGGACTGTTCTAAGGCAATATGACTTTGCTTCACTGGGATGGAGTCATCTTCTTTAAGATGTCAGATATTGATATGCTTTAAAGATCACCTATTATGCAAACTCCACTTTTTCCTGTCTTCTATACATCAACATGTGTCCCCTCTGTGTAAAGAGATTCTGAAAGTTTCAGGAACAAAGATTCTCTCTTTGTATCCTGATCCGTTTCTATAAAAACCTGTCTGAAAATGAGCTGATCAGATTTTGGCCACTTTATGATGTCATAACGTTTTTTTGGCTTGTGTAACCATTAGCCAATCACCAACCAAGGTTACCCCCCATCCCCTCCCACCTTATCACCTGAATCTCCTCCTAGAGCACCATTGTGTTCTTTTAACCAAATATCTCCCAGAGGGCCGTGGGGAGGGGCTCCTTATTTTCATCTAAAGTAACAGAATCAGCACTTTTGAAACAGAGGGGTTTATGGGATGGTACAATTCATGATCTGTTTGGTATTTCGAGCCAAACACTTCAGAGACATGTTTTGTATATATGTGAGACCTATAATATATTGATGAAAAACAGTATAATAGGGCCCTTTTTTTAAATTAGAAATGTCTCAATTTATTTTCTAAGGAAATATGACATGTGGTGGTGATGGTATTTCTGGTCACTTTCCTGTGGTAATACTTTGAACAAGAACTGTTCTGATGTCTCTTCCTTGTTTGTGCACTCACATGCTTGTGAGTAACATGCTTGTTGTGAGGCTTGAAAGTTGCAAGAAAAACAATCATATTCGAATGATCCTGGCGGCCATGTTTACTCATTGTCTTCCACATATTGGTTAGCTGAGAACATAGCTGGTGGATCTCACGTAGCTAGCTCCTTCATGACTGGATGCTTGCGGCATGTCATCACTTTCTAGGCTGTTTTTCTTAAGTCCATAACAAGCATTCCTCTGAAGTGAAAATGCCTGTTCCTGCGTTGCTTGGATAAGAAAACAGGCCTGATAAATGGCCTCTTAAAAATCAACCCGGTTCTTGTAGCCCCCTGTGACCGTGGGACACAATGAGGACCATTCAGCGGGTCTGAGCCGCCGAGACCAGGAGCTCTGCTGCCATTTAGGTCATTCAGCTGAACCCTGCCTTTGTGTGCACGTTGGAATGAGCTGCCTGCATAGGAAGAGCAGGGAGGGGCTGTTGACTGGTCGCACTTGAGAAGATGACGTGTTGTGTGCACTGCTGAGGGGAGGGGTCCACCTCTCAGCTGAGCCGGGGGTACGAGGTCATGTCTGCTTCTTCCCAGGAACTGGCCTACCTGGCTGTCGTCCCCCGCCGTCTGTCAAGCACTTTGTACAGGAGTTGTTAAACAAACCAAAATTCCACACGGATTATGTTTTCACCCGTGAGTTAGTAGCTGGGGGTCCACGACAAAGTGCCATTTTTGACATTGAAATACAAATGGAAATGATTTGCATAACCTCCCTGTCTTGAGTTTTGAAAAAAGTGCACTCACCTGACCTTTTCAGACCTATACTGATGCCTTGGATCCTAGCATCGACCAATACCGAGAACTGATCCAATACTACTGTTTAATTAATTATTCAGTCATTTTGACCTATAGGGCTGCTCAATTAATCTTATTTTAATCGCGATTACGATTATGGCTTGCAACGATTACGAAAACAACGTAATCGAAATAAAACGATTATCTTTTCTTTTTTTATATATATATTTTTTTGTTTTTCAGTTGAATTATGCTTAAAGTTCAGGGTAATCAACTGTTAAAAACATACTGTTCACATTTTTTTTCTCCAATAAATGGATGTTTTCAAAGTCAATGAATAATCACATTTAATAATCGCAATTACAATTATTGACCCAAATAATCGATGTTTGCCATAATCGAGCAGCCCTATTTTGACCCCAGGCTTTGAAAGAACCTGGCTGAGTATCTGAGGGACTAAACCTCTGTGGACTTAAAAAAAAAAGAAACTTTAAGACAGATCTTTTAGTCTGGCTTTTACTTTAGGTGCCACGTTATTTATTGCCTAATTGTTTTCTCCAAATCATGTTTTTTATACTATTTCTATCTCCTGCGCCTATTTATTTAAGTACCATGTATTTAGATCAACCCTATCAATCTATTTGAGTCTTCAGTGGCCCCATATCTGTATCCGTGGATCCCAACTTGAAATCATAGGGATTTCCATGTTTTGAAACTCCCGTCTCTGCTGCACATGCTCGACTGTGTTTATGTGCGATCACTCAGTATGTGCAGACTGAGAGCTCAGATGATTGCCAGTTGCTTCCTCTCTAGGCCAATCATACAGTTAAGCATCCATCCAGCATTCAGATGCAGCCGAAGCAGGCTCTGTTTTCACATGAGATTGAGGGCCCTCAACGGGGATGACAGCACTGATATGGACCAGGTCTATATCAGCCGTCCATCTTCTTGACCCCAGCCATCAGTGACAGCGTGTAGGGCAAAGCCTGATGGATCCTTGTGCAAGACTCTCCTCCCGGATCACTTCTCTCTGTGCTATGTTTGAACAAGATACTCAGCAAACTGTTGTTTTTGTTAAGTCAGACAAAGTGCTTATTTTGAGACAGATCAGAGACGTGTGATAGACTTCCTCAAACTCAGGCTCATGTGGTGCAGAGCTCTTGTTTACAAGGTGGAGGTCTGCACTCACCAAAAGAGGAATTAGTGCTTTACACACTGATTGTGAATCTGAAATCTCTATCCAGTTTCACAGCTTTGGACTCCCTCAGGCCCGACGCAGCA